GCATCTCGAAGCTGGGCGCCGGCAATGGCGGCGTGGTCACCAAGGTGCAGCACCGGCCGTCGGGCCTCATCATGGCCAGGAAGGTGAGCGGGACGCCCCCACCTGGGGCCGCCTGCCGCCATGGGGGCCGTGACAGTCAGACTCCCAGCGCCCTGGCCTCCAGGGTATTAGACGGCCTGTCTGCAGCCGCTACGCGCAGAGACAGCTGCCCTGCGTGTGCCATGTGTGCACGCGTGTGAGGTCGGCTTGGTCCTCACGGAGGCCCACGCACGGCGGCCCAGTCCCTCCCGCACTGTGCGGTCATCTTCGTCAGGGCCGGCTCACACGCCGTTCACGGCGCTCACACCCAGCAGGGCTGCGCGGGGGCCTGCCGCACTCGACTGCGCGTTTTTATTTTTTGGTTGGCCAGATTCTTGTTTCTTTTTTTTTTTTTAAAGAATGATCTAATGGGAACCAGCAGTTAGCGTAATGGCTATGTCGCTGGACTCCCACGTAGTCGACCGCGGTTCGTGTCCCGGACCGGTGGCTTAGAACTCACGCCGGGCGCGTGTGCGTGCGTGCCCAAGATCCCGAGAGGAGAATGGAGAAGGGATTGCGGCGTGACCATCCCCCCTGGGGGGTGATTTCTCGCTTTCTGTCTCTATGTCTCTCTCTGTCTGGCGAGCGCACGCGCCCTATAGCGAAAATCTCTCCAAAAAAAAAAAAAAGAATGATCTATTTAATTTTGTCATTATTACCTTTCAAATTGACGCGAGAGGGAAAGTGAGACAGCAAGGTGCCAGGTCTGGGACTCGAACTGCTATCGGCCATCTGGGAGTCCAGCACCTCAACCACCACGCCACCTGCTGGCCCCCATATCGTTTTTGTTTCTTGTGTCTTTCTCTTAAGAATGATTTATTATTACTGTTGTTATTGTATGTGCTGTAATGAGCTCACCCTGTCAGGCTGGTGCCACGCCTGGACTCGTGCCCTCGTGTAAGTCGGGCGGCAGCCTCCGGAGCGCTGGGCCGTGTGCACCAGGGCCGGGGCCCCTCGGAGCCCTCTCAGGGTGTCCTAGCGTCCCTGCTGTGCTGTGTTGCGGGCGCAGACCCAGTGCCTTCCGGGGGGTGCGCATCACGCCCCACTGGTGGGCAGGGTGAAGCCGGGGTTGGTTCCTGCCTTGACGGGGCGTTGTGGACTGGGGCGCCCCGGTCCAGTGAGCAGCCGCACCCTGACGTCCAGGCTGCCCTCAGTCTCGTGGTCCCCTTTGCAGGGTGCTGGTGGGGAGGACGGGGCCTCTCCACACTCCCCATGCAATTTCCTGTGCTTCTGTAATTCTTTCAAAATCCGATTTTTTTAAGGGGCCAGAAGAAGTGGGGTGCGAGAGAGGGCTTGAATAGGAGGCTGGGCCCTGGCTGTCACCCTGTCCAGGGCTCTGACACTGCCTTGCCCTGGGGACCCTTGGCCGGGGTTGAGGACACCTTTGCTTTGCAGATTTGTTTATCGAGAGATAGCAGCCCCGGAGCCCTCACGTGACAGTCCTGCCTCCGTGACTCCCCGGGTCACGGGCACACGTGTGTCTCAGTACACAGGGAAGGCCTGGCGAGTGAGCCCGGGACCCCCCACGTACGGCTGTCTTCCTTCCTCTGTGCCGTCTGGCCCCTCAGACTTCCTTTTTAAAATTTTATTCATTGTTATTATTGTTATTTTAATTTGCTCTAGGGTACATGTACTCACAGGAGAGACAGAGAGGGGGGAAAGTGCGAAAACCAGGTCCGGGGCTCAAACCACAGCCGGCCATGTGAGAGTCCAGAGCATTAGCCACCACGCCACCTGCTGGCCCCTCTGATTTTCTTTTAAAGACAGGGACTTACGAGACCCAGGTGCATGCTGTCGTGCCGGGCGTCCAGTGTGGGGCAGGAATTGAACGCAGGCCTCCCCTGTCGTCCCAGCCTGACAGACATCCCGGTCGACCAGCCCGTGCCACCACACACGGCCCGCGCCAGTCCCATCTGACCGGCCCGTGCTCACCCGGGTGCGGCCGCGGTGGACCCCGTGTGGGCTCTGGTGGTTCGGCCCCGTCCCTGTGGGGGTACTCGGCAGATCGGCTTCCTCGGGCTCGTGGGGTCCTCAGCCGCCCTCGGCGGGCAGAACTGATCCGTTGCCGCTGTTTAAAAGAGATCCAGTGCCTAACATCCATGCCACCTACTGGCCCTCATTGAACTAATTTTTAAAAAAGTGGAACTGGGTTGTAATTTATAAGACACTCTCTAATTTTAAAGTTATTAGATTGAATAAAATATAAATTAATTTATTTTAAACTGAAAGGAAGAAACTAAATAAGCTTTTAATTATTTATAGTTTTATCATGATATATTTATCATTATAACCAATTTATCATTATAATCAATACCTATATTAAAATTAAGCAATAGTCAGGACATCCTACAAAATATAGTGTGGTTTTTCAATATGATAATTCAGTAACTGGCATAACGATCATACACACATACACACCTTTTTGTCTTTGGTTTCTCTGTGACTCATCAGATATTCATGCTTTTACAATGTGCTGACATTTTGTGTCATCTCACTGAAAACGCCGTCCACTGCTGTCCCCCTCCCTGTGTGCCCTCCCGTCCCCGTCCACTGCTGTCCCCCTCCCTGTGTGCCCTCCCGTCCCCGTCCACTGCTGTCCCCCTCCCTGTGTGCCCGCGTGCGCCCTGTGCTCCTTGAGTGTCCCAGCTGTGACAACATCACGGCCGAGGGCACCGAGGCCGCCCGGCACCTGCTCTCTCCAGCCCCCAGAAAGCCTCGTGCTTGGCAGCCCCAGTCCTCATTAGGGACGCCAGGGTCCCAGTGGTGCCAGCCCCTCTCAGAGCCGGACACGTTCCCTCCCAGCGTCCACCTGGGGCCCCTCTGAAGCGCTCGGCCGACCGTGGCCCTGTCAGAGGGCCGAGAGCGTGGGGTCAGTCCGCCCTGCTGGAGCTGTGCTGTGCGCAGGTCGGCCGGTCCCAGGGCGGTGGAACAGCTCCCTGACGCTCGTCCTCCGACCGCGGGCTGGGAAGTGTCCCCGGGCTGCCGGAGGGCAGACGTGAGCCCTGCACCTGCCCGCTTCCCTTCCTTTTTTAAGTGCTCCTTTGTTCCCAGAGAGGGCCGGCCACAGGTCTGGAACCCGCCTTGAACCTGTTCTCAAGGTCGCCGGCGGGTGAGCGAGGACGGTCCCTGCCCGGGCCCTGAGCCCTGGGCCCTGTCCACAGCAGCCCGTCGCTGGCCCGTGCTCGGCCGTCTCCTTCACGCCTCGTGCCCTCCAACGGGCCGCTCCTTGTCCCTGCGCTGGGACGTCCGTGGGCGCTGGGGGAGGGTGGCCCCTGTGGGCCTTTCCAGGCCCAGGCCCAGGGTCACCCCGCGTGCTGGCCCAAGCGCCAGTGTCTGCCCCGATCAGCGATCACGCCTCCTACCCTCCCTTCCCGATGTCTCTGTCCTCGCTGCCCTCTGACCCCCGCCCCGCCAGCCCTCCGCACACCTTCATTCGGTGGCGACGTTCTCAGATCCCTGGCACTGGCCGCACCTCCGTGTCCTCTCCTGCATCCGCCCGGGCCTTCCCGAGTCCCTTCTGTGTCTCCCAGAGCGTCCTTCGGCCTCGATGCTGCGGGAGCTGCTGGAGGTGTCGGCCGGCTCGAGCCCACCCAGCGAGGAGCGCGGGGACTGAGTGACTGCCATGCCAGCTGGCCTCGGCTGGTCTCAGCCCCGGGGACGGAGGGGACCCCCTGGCCTGCACCCTGAGAAAGGCTGGGGCTTTGTCAGAGGATGGTTTGGTGAAGGAGAGAAGTCCTTTTTTCTATGTTTTTAATTGCTTGAGGGTAAGCGGACTTGCCAGGGGCAGAGAGGAGAGGAGGAAGGCACCCCAGGGGGCGTGGGCACCCCACAGTCCCTTCTGTGTCCCCACCCCGCGGGGTTTTGGGCACGCACGCACACGCACCCCGTGTTTTTCAGGCTGCCGGGGGCAAGGTTTGAACCATGGTCAGCCATGTGGGGTCTGGCTGCCTTGACCACCTGGCCGTGGGGCAGCCCTGAATGCATTTCTGACTTGATTCGGGAGGCCTCTCCCACAGTGGCCTCGTCAGGGTGGCTCTGTCCTGGGTCGAGCAGCCCTGTATGTAATTCAGTGGGGGTTTTAGTGCTTCCGCAGAGTTACGCTCCTGTCACCACAATTCCAGGACGTCCTGTCACCTAGGACACCCTGTCCCCACAAGCAGTCACCCGCCCCAGCCCCTCGTCCATGAGCACCCTCCTGTCCCCGTGGACCTGCCTGTCCTGGTCATTTCACTTCCGGGGTCCTCCCTCATGTGACCTTGCGTCCGAGCGCGGTGTTAAGGCAGCCACGCCGTGGCCTGCGTAGGGGCCTCCTCCCTGCCCACGGCTGAGTCGTGCTCCTGAGGACGGCCACGTGGCATGTGTGCGTCCACCTGATGGCAGACACGGCTG